AAGAGCGTGGGTCCAGACGACCTTGCAAGCTGATTGGAAGGTTTAAACTGCGACCCTGCTTGTGGTCGATTTCAGTTGTAGTCAGCCCACGCCGCCACCGTTAGCACAAGCGGCTACGCATTTAAAATGGTAGGTTTCATTGTGTTCTCTTTAGTTTCTTGGAAATTATGCAGAAAAATTTGCATCGGTAACGTCTCATTGCATTTTGTAGAATTGCTTTCTGTCCAAAAGTTTGTGCTCCTTCTGACGGCAAAATGTATAGTGATATAAAACATTTCGCGGATTCCTACGCTAAAAGGACAATTAGCCTGATAATGACATAAAATTCCGTAAACGACCGCGAATAATTCAATTATTGTGGCCATAGGAACGAAGTCGTGACCCATAGTGAGATTCGCAAGAGGTCTGAACTGATTCAGCAGCGCTTTTAGGGAATTCACAGTTTATCCATCGTGGGAGTGGATGATAATGGGATATTAAAAAGATTTCCACAAACCATGTCATTGGCGCGTTGGTGGTGGTCTCTGCACTATAAATATGCTGCTGAAACAATGTATGTCGCCAATTCCATGCTTATCACAGGCTGTCAGAGTGGCATTGTTCACTCTGGTAGCGTAGAATGTTCGTCAGCTTTTAAGCAACCGAATGGCCAACATCTCCGATTATCCGGGAACTAGCTCGCTGACAGGTAGACATCAGTTCTCAGTGATAGCTCATACTCTAAAAAAGGATAATTTGAGCAGTGAAGTATTGCTCGCAAGTTATTCCGGAGTGAACACCCAACGACAGAGAAGGGTGAGATGCCAATGTTGCTTCCGTAATAAAGAGGGTTATTTTATTTCATGACTTTTAGACTGCTACTTCACGTAAACAAATTTTCTAGTCACATCAGCAATACGCTATACCATTTAAAAGCTCGCCGATGCGATGGGTAAATTATAAAAAGAACCTTAGTGGGATTAAACTCGTGGGTCATGATGGGGCCTTGTAGCTCAGTTGGCTAGAGCGTTGGCTGTACTAGAGCCCTCCCCTTTCTTGCGTGGATTTGAATCCCACCGAGGCCATAGAGTTTTTCACAATTGGGTACAGTGAATTATAAGAGGAACTGCAGGGGTACCCGTGACTGTGTTAAAGGCAAACAAAATGATCACTTTTGCTGATTTTAAGACACGCATCGTTACAGATAATATGACAGAAAGCGGCAGATCACACTGACATAAGTAGTTCTTATAGTCCAGCACATAATAAAATATCCTCCTTATCCAAAATTTTCCGTTTTCCGATGCAAAAGAGGATGGAATGATGTGTGACTGGAAACTGCAGTCGCAATGGGAACCTATTGGTGGTGATACCGATTAACAGTATAGAAAGAGTGTCCCTAAAAAGAATTTATGTGCTAGCAATGTTGTTCTTTTTGAGGTGAAAAGTGATTCAGTCACGCTGAGATCGTGCTAAGTCTGAAGATATCCAAAAAGACAAAAGCAAACCATGAGCATCCCTTGACAATACGTAAAAAGATCACTGAGAGTGACTGCTTATGTGCATAGTATGTAATATGCGAGTTTTGCGAGCTACTCCTTCCAACTAGGTGGCTACTATTTCATCAGCTTTGAAGATTATTGCTTTGGCCTTTGCACCAATGCCATTGATCTTGAGCAAGCTTCTTTCACGTATTCTGACTGACTTTTAGATGCCTTTCTTAAATATTCCGAGTGTCCTTGCACCGTCTTTCGTATTCGTCTCGTCTGCATACACCCATAGCGAATTCGACGTAGAATAACCGGATGGGCAGCCACTCTTCATCCATACGCAAGATATGTTTATTCTATCGTAGTCGCATCTCATGTTCCCTGGCGGGCACAATGAGGATTTGGATGCTTTACTGGGATCTCGATAGTTGTAGCCAATTCCTATCACTTAGTTTTCATTGTCAACCCAAGGCTGCCGAGGTGAACATTCTCCAGCATTTGTTCTTGCATTTCCTTCTTGACCTATGTCCTCAGCATTGTCAGAATGACGACGTAGAACATTTTCAGTTTCGTGTTTTGGTGGACATCCGAGCGGCTGCAGACAGAATGCTGCAGCTGGTCGATACTTTGAATAGCTTTGGAAATCCGGCCAGTACGTGCCCCTCGTCTTAGATGCGTTTTGAATTTTTAGTTCCCACGCGAATTTGTCCATTAGGGAGATTCTAGTGCTAAGGAAATTGATCCTGCATTCGAATGAGTCAGCAGTTAAACAGAATTAGTGCCACAGCCCAGTTTTGTTCTTGCTGAGTGCATTGGAATTGGTAGAACCTGGAGGCAAAGAAATCTACACTCCTGCACGCCCTTTGTAACGAGCAAGTGGTCGCAGATATTAGTCATGAAATCTTTTGAGCATGTCGCCATGCGTCTGACATTGTCTAGTTGCCCATCCAGCCGCTAGTCGTCGTCACTTTCTGCAAATACGACGAAGGGCAAGAGCGACCACCGAGATTTTTTCCCCATTTTCCAACGAAAATGCTTTCCAGATGTATTCGCTGTCTGTGAGGCTTCCATTTGATGCATCTCATCGACCGTGAATCGACCGCGCATCCGAAATCCTGCATCATCCTCCAGGGTCGATTTTGGTTCACAGTGCAGAAGGTCCCCCTCAGATTCAAGACGGGGATGAAGAGAACCGTTCACATTTTCCAACACTTTGTTTACATGTAGAAGGCCACATGATCGATTCTGAGGTGCCGCGGTGGTTTCAGGCTCCGCATTACACTCAAGCAAGGGGTTCCCATCTCCAGCTGCATGTTCAGACAAATAAGTAGGGCTGGAGCAAGAGCTTATCACCGAGGTTAATGGGGACGATGCTTCTGTGGCTGTTTCGACTTGTGGTTTAAGGGGTTGACGACGATGGCATCGTTGAACTTTTGGGTAATTTTATTTGTTCTCACAGCTGAAGGAAAAGTAAACCAAACTTGACTCTGATTTTGGTTCTCAAGGGATTTTTAGATGGACGACTGCTGCACTTCTGATTGTCTCCTGTGGGAAAGGTGGCGATCGAGGTCATCATTTCGATTAGCTGAAGGAAGTTGGGTGATTTTTGATCGCCTGTTACAGATGGAGAATACCATTGGAGTGCGCGATCCAGCCCTCCAAAATCTGTGGATTCGCCTCTTAGATAAATGTCTAAACAGTTTCTCTGGCTTCAAAGTCATGGACCGTTTTTGGGGCTATGACAACAGTGCCAAATCACTGTGGTCAGTACAGTCTTAGATTCCATTAGTCCTGAAAAACATACAGGGCATCTGCTTCCTTAATGGCGTCTGCCCTGTTGATAACATTAGTAATGTGAAGGTTCTTATTACAGAGCAGATTGAGAATGTCATGATCCTTGTCATAGTACCAGTTGAGGTAGATGTTCCAGGTATTTGCATAAATTGAGAAGAAGAATTCATGTCGATCACCAGAATCATAGTTTTATTAGAATGAGAATCAAGGACTGATTAAATCCCAGTGAGCAGTCGGACGTAGTGTACTGCATACCATGTCTAAACTGTCCCCGAAATTACATGGGACAGACTGAACGCATGCTCGCTTCGCGCATACACGAACATAGATTGGCTGTATGACGGGGTGACCTATTATCGCAAGTGTCTGCTCAAATTTATGAGAAGTGTCACGATTTCAACTTCGTAACTACGAGGGTAATGGCCCACGCCGGCAAAAAGACAGACCGAGAACTGGTTGAAGCCTGGGCCTCCGACGACAAATCTGTCAACCGAGATATCGAGTTGGCGCCAGCATACATCGCCCTCCACAGGCATCTGCAGACTCATGACACTGGTGATTAATTGGTCCCTTCCTCACTAATGCCTGCAGAAAATACAAGCCCAAGTCTGTCACACACATATTTACATACCATAACACGTCAACACAACTCGTGCCATCGCCCTAACTGCTCATTTTACATCAGGACATTCGGAAACCAAGTTGATCTTTTTTTCCAAATGCGCATACATGCTGCACATTTCAGACCCTTCATAACGGGTAGCCTTACAAGCAAAATACAATTCGTTTGCATGTTATCCCACTTAGCCACATGAGTGTACGCGACCGCTCTCAACAGCGCATTACAAATCACTCAGGCAAAGCGTGTGCCCTGAAGTGTTCAAGCGTCACTGTGACCGGCGGTACATCGTAGATGAAAACGTGCACATATCAGCAACGTGAGAAGCAGTCCAGTTGGTGTTGGCGAAAGCACCTTTAGGCGACCGACGTACACGGGCTGCTTAGTTTTGTCGGCCACTGCGCCAACTTCTACCCTCACTCGGCCTGACTCACACTAGTCAATAGTGCAGGAGAATAGAAAAGGTCATATGGTCGAGATTAGGGAATTCAGCCTCGGGGCAAATGAGTACATGCTGTTTTATAATAAGTCTTAGAAGCATAAACCCATCACGAACCGCTAGGAGTCGCGCTTTTGGAGGTTGACAACTACCGATCCCCTACGGAATGAGAGTCAAACAGACTTGGCTCTTTCTTAATGCAACCCTTATTGCATTGTCACCACTATCAGCTAGAAAAAATCTGTAAACTTAAAGTGTTTGGGACGTTGGTGTATGCAGCAGGCATAGGCGGATCTTATTCTCGTATGGGCCACTTCACTCACTTACACCCACTCACGATTGTCAAGTCTTTTCAGTGCACCCGAGGCGAAATGAATAAAGGAGGGAGAGTGAGATTGATGTGTCGAAAGTCAACTGTACCTTTAACACATTCAAGTGCAGGTCGCCACTGCGAGACTGAACTCGTGGGACAACGCTACTTGGTTGAATTATCGGCACCATCCCCCTCGTCGCTTTAGATGCCGTCGACCTTTACATCGTCACTTTTTTCAGCAGGTTGAGCCTCTGAATTGTTATTTGGAAAACACTTAATCCAACAGGACCGAACTCTTCGACTAACTGTATTACGAAGTCACTGCATTTTGTTGTCTGCTATTTTAAATACTTGAACAAAATCCCGACGACAGTTCAACCGTCAGTTTCGACGAGGTCCACCGTATGCTCCACAGTAGGGTGGTGCAAGGATGGTGGCCTATGCTAACTTGCAGGGAAAAAAGACTTGCGCTAAATCCACCTCACTTTCTGTTCGACTTCCCTACATGGATCCGACTTTGAGACAGAGTCAATAAAACCCGAGATGGGGAGAGTGCGCAGATTCACACAACCAAACAAATCACAGCAAAGTTGCAGGGCTTGAATCTTAGCTGAGTGAGAGTGTCATAAGAGTGAGAGTGCCAGCCTGACTCGCCGTCCGAAAATCTGCCGCTCCGCACAACACAGCACACACTGAGCTGACTGCTTCGACCGATTTATCCTGTCAGTTCGCAACCTACCAAACTACGGCATTGAGAGCACCGTGGTAGCTTCAAGCACGTCAGATTGGTTATATTGATGAAATTGCACTGAGCTATCCATCTCACGCTCTCCCCCACCTCCAGTATCAGACCACCGTCCGAGACGGTCACTTGTCTGTCGCTGGGTGGGTACAGTGACTGGCGCAGCAGCCGAACTCGTCTAGGCGTGCTATAGCATGTCCTGGTCCCACTGACAAACACACAAACACCAAGATTTACACAACCAGGGGGATTAGAAAGCACTGCCGCCCATCTGACTCCCAATCCAGTGATCAAACGCGGATAACGTGGGCTGATATAAGTATCAGTTGGGAGCCCTCCAAACCAACGGTAAACTGCGGTGGCCTCAAAAGCTATGTTGGATGGTGTAATCTTCGCGCTGTGTTGTGAGGTAAAGTCAGTGGATGGACCGTTATGCGCGTTCCATAATATGACGTTTTCACTATGGGGTTAAATTCACCGGCTAATAGGTTTTCTCTATTCCCCTCAAACGGTCCAAAATACGATTTTGCAACTCCTTTTGTGGTTTTTTTCTGAGATACTGGAAAGCTTTCAGTTGCATTTGGCCGGTCCCTACCCACTCACTTAGCAATGTGTAATTCCTTTTGGTTATTCACTGTAAGACGCCCTGGGCCGTTCTATTGCTGCGCAGATAACGATGTCTATTTTGTCGGTTTAGCATCTTTAAAAACAGGAGCAATACATGCGCAATTTTGAAGCCTATTCTGCTTAACTGCGAAATGACGAACCTCATGTTTCCTTTTAATGCCTTGAAATTTGTTTGCCACATGTTATAGGCTTTAGCTCAAATTGCAAGGTAGGTAAACTTTGAAAATCTATTACCTCTCACATCTGCCCGGAGTTCAAAACCTAATGGAAGTGCAGACATGCAGACAGGTTTGCAAGACTTTCGTCATAGAATGGGTTAACACACACGTATAAAAGCAGTGTACTCCTATGAGGTCGGGGCAGTATTAGGTTGGTTAAAGGACTTCTGGCCCTTGTTTCTGCTTATCGTACAAAAGCATGCAGCATTCGGCTCAATGAGCCTTCTAGAAGGACCATTTACAGAATGGTGTGGCTTTATCAATGAAGATCGCATGCGTACCTTTCAAAATGCGAGGTTCGCATCATACTAACTTTACAATCCGATGCGAGTTATCAGCACAAAGTGTCCAGTGGGGTACTTAGTGCCACTGTTAAAATACTCCGAGGCATTTTTTCGCTAATTCTCCGACACCTATCAGGCACAAATTCCAATTTACTTGCCTTTTGACACTTTAGCAAATAGTAACTGCGAACGCCGAGGTGACATCTGCTTCACTTGACCCTTCCCGCCTCCCCCCTCTCCTCCGACCTCGTGCCGATGCTAACATGAATTATGGCAACCATTTAATCCCCTTCTGCATTTCAGTTTACTCCCTCTTCTTGCTTATTTTAAGAGGGAGGTGGTTACAGTCCATGTCGGTCAGTGCGGCTGCCAGATGGGCAATGCTGTTTGGGAGCTCTTCTGTGCTGAACATGCGGTAGGCCTTGATGGAAAACTGTTCGAGCCACCGCATGAACTGGAATGGCACGAGACCTTTTTCAGCCTCTCCGGCTCGGGACATTACGTGCCAAGAACAATCTTTGTCGACCTGGAGCCCACAGTTGTTGGTAAGTTGGGGGCCGCAGCCTCAAAATGATGTATTTAGTCAACCCCTCGTTTTGTTCTTGCAGGCCAAATTATGAATGT